CACCCACTGATACTGAGCGATTGGGGCCAGCACCAGCAGCAGGTGCGAGTGAGGCCAGCACTGGCAGCGGGTGCAAGCTGTGGCACCGGCAGCGGGTGCGAGCAGGGCCGTTGCCGGCAGCAGGTGCAAGAGGCGGCTGTTGGCCTTGATCGCCCCTCAGGAGCAAGGGGTGGTGGAGAAGCCCTGGGGGGTGATTGGGGCCGGCACTGGGCACCCGCAGTGGGTGCGAGCAGCGGCTCCAGTGCCCACAGCGGGTGCGAGTGGGGCCAGCACCAGCAGCAGGTACAAGCATGAGGGAGCAAAGAATTTTCAGTAACCACCAGAGGCTCACCCCGATGACAGCAACCAGTGCCCCGCCTTGATCTAGTGCCCCCACTCACCTGCTTCACCATCCTACCGCAGCTGATGCCCCCATGTTCTGCGCACGCGCCCTGGTGGTCAGCATACGTCATAGCGACTGGTTGTTTGGTTGTTCCGCTGTTCAGTCTGTTTGCATATTAAGGTTTTATATACTAGTATATAGATAGCACATCAGAAATTACAGCAACTACTGATTTTCTTATATTAGAGAATTCATTTTATAATTGAACATAATTCCAGCATAACAAACTAGATCACAATAAAAATTATTCTACATTGAAATGTTGGGTTACTCCAGTGAAGGACCAGATGTAATCCTTATTGTTTCTTAAAACACATTGCAGACCAGTAGTTTTATTGCTAGCTTTACCCAGTGGCCAAATAAGTTTCTATTGAACGACTACAAAAAATGTTTTACATAAACGTTAAAGGCACGCTTTAAAATTAAAAACCCATTGCATTTTGAAGTTATTTATTACATGTTCTTACAAGCTATTATCTTTTTAAAGTATGATACTTTGTAAAACACTGTGTAATATGAAGCAAGAATTCTCGTGATCTGTCTGCAATGTGTTAAGTATAAGACTATAGTTGCAACATTGGAAACAGGGTATTGTTAGCTTTTATGTAATCAAGTATTGCTTGTGTTTTGGTGAAATATAGTAGCTGGTGTTGTTTTTTTGCCGAGAGAACGTGGTTTTTTAACTGAAGTTAATTGCAGTCTTGGTAGTGTTATGTTCAACCAAGGTGAAAGTGACAGTAGGATCTAGAGTTTTAGAAATGGTTAAAATGTTAAACTTGAAGGGAAGGAAAAGTTTTCCTCTACAGAACCATTATTTTTTAAAAGAACATTAAAAATGTATTTCGAAGGTCTTAACTATATAAACCTCTACA